GGGGGGACGACCAGGGATTGAACTCGGAGGACTTGACCACTGAGCCACATCTCCAGCCCCTTTTTGTATTTTATTTAGAGACAGGGTTTCACTGAGTTGCTCAGCACCTCACTTTTGCTGAGGCTGGCTTTCAACTCGCAATCCTCCTGCCTCAGTCTCCTGAGCCACCTGGATTTCAAGCAGGCGTAATAGCATCCAGAAACAAATTTTTTTTTTTTACAGTAGTAGGGATTGAACTCAGGACCTTTCACATGCTGGGCAAGCACTCTACTACTGAGCTGCATCCCAGGGCCCCTAAATATAATTTTAATTCTACTTTTCTGCTTAAGAATCTTTAATAGCTTCCTCATCCTTAAAGGATGTTAATGGTCACCCACCATTTACAAATATTGATGAGTTTTATCATACACTACTCATCAAACTTATTGCTCCCATCATAAACCATCTGTTCTGATGAATCTAGTCTCTCTCCTTAATGCAACATTGTTTTTTGTCATATGCCCGAGATCACCATTGCAAGTGACTGTCCAAAGCTCTGTACTTTGCTGTATCACCATCCAGTTCAATCCCTACCTTTTCTTGAAATATTTACATAACTATATAAGCATCCTCTAAGTGCTTATATTATAAGCATTATAATTTAAAATAACATATTGTTTATGTCCCAAATGTTTAAATCCATTGCATTTTAAATAGATCAGTGCATTTATACAGGTGCAGTGACACATGCATGCAATCCCAGTTGCTTGGGAGGCTAAGGTAAGAGGATTGCGAATTCAAGGCCAGCCTCAGCAACTTAGCAAGACCCTAAGCAACTTAGTGAGACCTGTGTCTATAAATATTAAAAAGAAGTGGGGATATGGCTCAGTGGTTAAGCATCCCTGGGTTCAATCCCTAGTACCAAAAAAAAAAAAATGCATTTAATATCTAAGAATTATTTCTAACTTCCATCTTTCACTTTACATTTCTGTTTTTATCTAATTGCTTCATGTCTCCTTTTAAATCACTTTGATCTTGTAGAATTAAGCCTTGTATTAATCATAGAATTCAGTAATATTGAGCAAGTTCATAAATTGTTCTGTGAGTTTTAGAACTAAAAATATAATGCTTTAAATATATATAAGTATAAGAAAATGCAAGCTGAACTTGGCTTCTATCCTGAAATACAAATACATTGACCATTATTTCAGTAGAGGCCTCAAATTAAGCCTTACCTGTTAACTTAAAGTTTGCTAAATTATAAACACGATATACATTTTTTTCCAGAAAATAAAGCTTATTATTTGCCTAGGACATAATTTTTAAGTGATTTTTACATACTTTTATGTTTACTGAATTTTGTACCTAGCATTTTAAAATTTTATTTCCCAATGAGACAGAATTTTAAGATTGTTGAAGTAGCCACATTGAGAATTATCTTAGAGCAATTAGCCACCTGATCAGCTAATAAAGTGATTTTTTTTTAAATATACTTCAGCTAGATTTCTGTGACTTGACAAGGTTTTACTAATTTATCAAAACTTTTTCTTTTATTCTCACAACATTTTTTCCTAAATTTTGAGAAATTATCAGTAAATTGAAATGCATTCAAGACAGGAAGATATGCTCTAAAAACAGCTGAATTAATCACATTGAACAAATGGTTCTCAAAAGTAGCAACAGCATCACGAAGGGACTTATTAGAAATGTAAATTCTCAAACCACCCAACCTCTGTCTCTTAACAGATCTTGCATGTGGTTCTGTTGCAGATGCACACTAAAGCTTGACAGCCATTTTCTTCAAGGTTTTCTTATTTATTTGCCTCATATAGTGATTGATTTCTTGGTCTCAGGTTATAATGCCCTTTTAAGATATGAAGGATTTGAAAATGACTCTGGTCTGGACTTCTGGTGCAATATATGTGGTTCTGATATCCATCCAGTTGGTTGGTGTGCAGCCAGTGGAAAACCTCTTGTTCCTCCAAGAAGTAAGTACATCTATCTTGGTGCTGTCTCACACATAGTGATCTTAAAGTAATATAGACATTAAGATAATACTTTTCGGGGCTGCGGGTGTGGCTCAAGCGATAGCTAGCTCGCCTGGCATGCCTGCGGCCCGGGTTTGATCCTCAGCACCACATACAAACAAAGATGTTGTGTCTGCCGAAAACTAAAAAAAATAAATATTTAAAAAATAATAATAATAATACTTTTCAATGAAAGGAACTTTTGTACTAACAAAACATGTTTTCTCTATTTTTGTTACTTTGAGAACCTTAATACTCTGACAGAGAAATATGTTACTTTTTTTAACAAATAATTTAGGAAGCAATTGTACTTCCTGCTGAAGTATAACTGGTTATTTGTTTTGTTTCAGCTATTCAACATAAATATACAAACTGGAAAGCCTTTCTAGTGAAAAGACTTACTGGTGCCAAAACACTTCCTCCTGATTTCTCACAAAAGGTAAAAACAGGATCTTAAAAAGACTGAAGAGCTCTTAAGAGAGAATAACTTTGAGATTTTTTTAAGGAGTTGTTTTAATTTCATGAACTGGGTGACCTGGGTCAAATATCAAGTATATTTAGTATTTTTTATATTACTTATTAAAATTACTTATATGCCTTCTTCATGAATTCTGAACAGTTCTGTCTGTTCTTATTTTAAAGGTTTCTGAGAGTATGCAGTATCCTTTTAAGCCTTGCATGAGAGTAGAAGTGGTTGACAAGAGGCATTTGTGTCGGACACGAGTGGCGGTAGTGGAAAGTGTAATTGGTGGAAGATTGAGACTAGTGTATGAAGAGAGTGAAGATAGAACAGATGACTTCTGGTGCCATATGCACAGCCCCTTAATCCATCACATTGGTTGGTCTCGAAGCATAGGCCATCGTTTCAAAAGATCAGGTGAGTACCGGAAACAAGTACTCTTATTGAAAGAGTGTCATTGAGGCTGAATTATGCTACTTCGTTATTTTTCTCTGAAGAATAGCATAGATTAAAAAATACCATTCTAGTTGTTTGGGCTGTTTATTCTACCTCAGTTAGTGAGGGTTCAAATTAGTCTCCTAACTAATTCCTTTATATGCCTTCCTCTCACTCTCAATTAAAAAAATAATGCACTTTTCATGCATTAGGCTTTGGGGAAAGGCTCTGGGGCAATCCCCAACACTATAAAAAGATACATAAATAATAATATTAATTATGCACTCTTAGCCATGCCCATTTGATAGACATATAGTCTATCCCTTCCCATTCAATTTTAATTAAAATGTCAAGATTAAATGTGGCTAGGCTTGGTGATACTAGACACATTAAAACGTGTTTCTAAATTCCCAAATTATGGGATTACCAACATTCTAATCAGCTGAAATGTATTTAATAACATATGGACATATATCCTAAAGAGAGAAAAGACTTAATATTATTCACCATAAATGTAGAAGGCATGTCTTTCTGCCATGTTTTAGAGTATTACATACCTTGTGAGTTTGAAGCCTTCAAAGAAACATGATTTTTGGTCTTCTCACAAATGCTGACAGATTAGTATGTAACTTTTCCTTGTAGATATTACAAAGAAACAGGATGGACATTTTGATACACCACCACATTTATTTGCTAAGGTAAGAAGTTTTTATAAGAACCCTCATTTGTAAATTAGATTTGAAAGAGGGTTGTGGGGTTTTTTCCTAAAATTATGGAAATCACAGTTACATATGTTCATTTAAATGGATTAAGATTTTATAATCCATAAGTATCACAAATCTTTATTATACTTATTCTTAAATTGTTTTTGCCTGAACTCTGTATTTCCTAATGGAAATTTAAGTTGTAATATTAGGTAGGAAGGAGAAAGAATCTGGTAAACCTTTTCAAATCGGTAGTAACATCTATAACATTGCATGTGCTTTCATATAATTTTTTAGGTAAAAGAAGTAGACCAGAGTGGGGAATGGTTCAAGGAAGGAATGAAATTGGAAGCTATAGACCCATTAAATCTTTCTACAATATGTGTTGCAACCATTAGAAAGGTAAGAGAATAGGTTTTGAAACAAATACAATTATAAAGGAACTGGGCTTATGCTAGTAGAAGGAAACACTGTCATATTCATTAATTGTGCATGTCTGGATCTTCATTGGAAAAGTTTATTAGGAATTTCAAAGTGAGTTTGAATTCTGTTATCAGATCTTTGTGGCTTATTAGGATAGTCATTTTGAGTCTGCTGTTTTTATTTGCAGAAGCATATCGTTGAGTTAGAGAAAGAGTATTTCAAAGTTACTTCCTGGTCAGAGTTAATCCAAAACAGTATTATGACAAGGGCAAGTTTATCTTCAATTTTCCTGTGTTTCTTTTTATGATTTTTCTTCCTCTTGATACACTTTTTCTTTTTTTCTCTTTTCCATTTCATATGTAACTGTTCTTATGAAAATATCTAGAAGGGTTCTCAGTTTTCAGTAAGCATCAAGATTTCCTGGAGAACTTAAAAAAAAATAAATTGGCCAAACCCCTTCCCTCCATTCCAAATTAATTAGTCTGTATTGGGGCCTCTGCGTTGGCATTTTTTAAAGACCCCATGTGATTCTCATATACAGCTCTGGTTAAGAAACACTATTGCAGAATCTGCTTATGTAAAAATGTAGTAAATTGTGATTTACATCTTAATACAGTTGGGCAAACACTTATGTGGCTGCCATATCCCATGTGCCTCTTATTACCATTACAAAGCTGCCCCATCTTCTAAAACTGGTTCTACCTGACTAGTGGTAAAACTTCCAGATAAGGGAGATCAGATTCCCATGATCTCCTGCAAACCTGTGTAATCAGAATAGCAAGAAATATTGCCTGGAAAAGAAGTTCTGTAAGTGATCTCACAGTCAGGCAAGTTTGGGAAGCAGTGCCATTGTATCATGCTCTATTCCAGGGAAGTGAGATGACCAGTGAAGAGAATATCAAGCTTCATTTGGAGAATAATTAATACTTCCGTGCTAGATGTGATTTGAACTCTTGGAAAGTTTATAGTCATATGGAACAAAAATAAGATGTACAAAAATAAGCTTAATACAAGATAGCCTAAGGTGAAAGTATAGTCCATGTGTAGGAAATGGCAAGTTTCACATGCAGCAATATCAGGGAAGTTGCATTGGATATTTAGGTCAAGGTTTTTGTTGATGAGGTACAGAAACCCACTCAAGTTAGCTCACAGTAGAGAAACACAGACACAAGGACAATGTATGAGAACTGGGAAAGCACAGATCCAGTATTATTCTCCCCTTTTCCAGGGCCTTTCTGTCCCATCTCTGCTCCACTCTGAGTTGATGCCACTTTTCTTTCACTCTCTTTCTACTGTTTCCATGTGCACTGGCAGTCCCTAGCTCTATTTTATATAATAGCCTTTCAGTTCCCTCCCACCATGACTTGACAACAGTCTATGTGTCTGTTAATTCCAATGACTGAAAGAATCTGAAGGGCTGAACCCAGCTATTGGCTTGACTGCCTGTGTGATACATTTCTAGCCCCTGATCCAGCCAGCTATGGTTAGAAAGATGGAGAAGAGAATCCTGATGAGTGAGATACTTCTCTCAGAGACAGAAGGCGAAACCATTAGCTTGAAGAGAAAGTTATTGTTGTATGTGTCCAATTTTAATAGAAATATCTAGAAGAAAGGAACCTGGGGACAGAGACTAAAAATAGTGTAGCCTTTAATGGTTGGCCAGGCCATTCTGGGCATCTTAGTAGATACAAAAAGTTAGTAAAGCTTTCTGGATTGAACACAAGTCATTCTGTTTAACAGCGGAAATGTTCATAGTGGATGAAGAGAGCAGTTAAGGGCAAGGATAAAGAAGAGACCGAGCCAGGCATGGTGGCGCACACCTGTAATCCCAGCAGGAGTCTGAGGCAGGAAAATTGCAAGCTCAAAGCCAGTCTGAGGAACTTAGGACTTAAGCAACTTAGTGAGACTATAAATAAAATATAAAAAGGGCTAGGGATGTGCCTCAGTGGTTAAGCACCCCTGTATTCAATCCCCAATACAAAAAAAAAAAGAAGAAGGACTAAATGTTTGAGTTGGTATTGTGGGACCTGATGACCAGTTACCTCTGAAGGAATAAAGAAGGAGCTGTTGGCTTAGTTTTAGAATACAGGTAAAATGCAGGACTAAGACTCTGGAAGGGAGTCAAACTCAAATAACTCTATGAATCATTGGAATATAAAGAAACTGACCATTAAATCATTCAAGGTACATATTAAGTTTTCAAAACAAAGAAAACAGCTTCAGTCAGAAACTTAATTTTAAGGGCTGGAAGTGAAAGGGCAACTACCAAAAGAAATGAAAAAGGGGCTATAGAGATGGAAATATTGACCAGTAGACCGTATTGTGATGAAAGTCTATGAGAAAATGTTTCAAGAAGTTAAGAGTAATTATCAGGTACTTCCATGAAGCTGCAATTGGAAGAGCATACGTGCTGGGGGAAAAGGTCACTGGATTGAGTAAATAACCAATAACAACAGAAATGATTCAGCAAGGAATTGCATGACTTGTACCTCAAATTAGGCCTCTGAATGCAGGTATACAGAGTTCATGGTCTATGCTGTTGTGCCTTTTGAACCTATAATTATTGCTAGAGATAAAATATTTTTTAAATGTAATAAAAATTGGGAAACATTAGAGTATAAGAAATGATGTTTTTGGACTAAGGTCCTACTGGTAACAGGGCAAGATGAAAAAGTTTTCGGGCTGGGGATGTGGCTCAAGCGGTAGCGCGCTCGTCTGGCGTGCGTGCAGCCCAGGTTTGATCCTCAGCACCACATACAAACAAAGATGTTGTGTTCGCCGAAAAAGAAAAAATAAATATTAAAGAAGAAAAATTCTCTCTCTCCCTCTCTAAAAAAAGAAAAGGTTTGTCTTGTTAAAAAATGGGGGGAGGGGGCTGGGGATGTGGCTCAAGTGGTAGAGCGCTCGCCTGGCATGCTTGCGGCCCGGGTTCGATCCTCAGCACCACATACAAAGATGTTGTGCCCGCTGAGAACTAAAAAATAAATATTAAAAAAATTCTCTCTCTCTCTACCTTTAAAAAAAATGGGGGGAGACTGGACTTCTTGTTAAAACAATATGAGGCATAAAGAAGAGCCCCTTCATGGGCCACCCTTGGGGCTGTGGAGAAGCATGATGAAAGAGGTCAAGTTAGAACTTAAAGCTGAAGAAGGTTTGGAGAAACTCCTTTGTGTGATAAATCAGCAGGAAAGAAGTAAAGGCAATATTACCTAGAGTGGCTGACAGTCCTACCTGATTAAATTGTAAAGAGCAGCAACCCGTGGTTGGTAAAGATACTGTTTCCCAGACCTCTGATATCACTTTTATATAGTTGTGTTTTTGTTTCTAGTGCACCCTACAGCTTACATAGGTTTTTCATTATAACATATTATTTAATATAATTCAATAAAGAAGTGTTTTTTTTCTCTTCAGAGACCTTTATACAGTAGATTTTCCTTTTAGAATGTCATTTAATTTAAGGTAATATTTTTTAAAATAGTGATGTCTAATTTTAAATACTTGGGATTCTCTTAATTTAAAAGGTGCTGGCTGATGGATTCCTGATGATTGGGATCGATGGCTCAGAAGCAGCAGATGGATCTGATTGGTTCTGTTACCATGCAACCTCTCCTTCTATTTTCCCTGTCGGTTTCTGTGAAATTAACATGATTGAACTTACTCCACCCAGAGGTACTTGATACAGTGTTAACTGGAGTTTAATCCTGATTTCTTCTTACATGGTACCTGCTTACATTTAACACAGCCCTAGATTTTCTTGGTATGTGGGTATATATACAATATGTGTGTATGTGTATAAATAAATAAACGCATACAAACATACACACACACGAGAGTTCTGGGTTGCTTTAAAAGCATTATATTCTAGCTAGCTTTAATAAATTACACTATTAATTTCAACATCTGGACCTTGAGATTTTCACTAAGATGGGGGGGGAAGTAAAAACAAAAGTTACAATACTACTGCTGGCTGAACAAGTATTCTTTCAAAAGAGAAAAATACCGCTCCAGAGTTTTAAATGCTAGACTGTTCAAAAGCCTGGGATTGACTGGGCTGGGGTTGTGGCTCATTGGTAGAGTGCATGTGTGAGGCACTGGGTAAAATAAATAAATAAATAAAGGTTTAAAAAAAAAAAAAGCCTGGGGTTGAAAAAGCTAAAGTCTGAGGATAGACTATAGCTTAATTGTACAGCTTTTGCCTAGCACGCTGAACCTCAGGTTCAATCTTCAGTGTAACCAAAAACACCCTCAAAAGTCTGTTATAGACAGAACAGAGAAGAGTCACTTTTGCATTAGGGTAGGCAGACACACCTGTGTGTCTGGAAAGGAAGGATGGTTGTAACATGAAGGAACCATTGCACTCTGTAGTATAAGAGCACGAGTTAGGAGCTTCTCACATTGCTTAAATCTGAAATTGAATGTGCTGAATTATTTTATCTGCATTATAATATTTATGCTAATTTTAAATGAACTGCTACTTAAAACTAGTTGTTTCTTTTAGGTTACACAAAACTTCCTTTTAAATGGTTTGACTACCTCAGGGAAACTGGCTCCATTGCAGCACCAGTAAAACTATTTAATAAGGTAAGTTTAAATGGAAGCATAATAATGATGACCTCACATATGTTTCTTTGCCTGAGTTAGAATAACCTTAATGAAGACTAATATAAATATAAGCATTTAGGCCATGCTCTGTGGCTCAGAAGGCTGAGACAGTAAGATCATGAGTTCAAAGCCAGCTTCAGGGGGCTGGAGATGTGGCTCAAGCTCCGCCGAGAACTTAAAAAAAAATAAATATTAAAAATTCTCTCTCTCTCTAAAAAAAAAAAAACAAAGCCAGCCTCAGCAAAAGTGAGGTGCTAAGCAACTCAATGAGACCCTACCTCTAAATAAAATACAAAATAGGGCTGGGGATGTGGCTCCTTGGTCAAGTGCCCCTGAGTTCAATCTGTGGTAGCGATAGATACATTAGATAGATAGATAGATATCTAGATAGATAGATAGATAGATAGATAGATAGATAGATAGATAGATAGATAGATAGATAGATAGATAGATAGATTAGATAGACAGACCGACCCAAAAATGAATGAATATGAATGAATATTTGATGATAAAGCAATACAAATATTTTCTTAAGAGAAAAGATTGTTTCTAAAGTTTTTAATCTAAATGAAATAGAAATGAGAACATATCATACCTAGTTCTTGAATGCTTTAGTTTCATAATATGTTTGCATAATTAAAGAATGGGAATTTTCGTTTTAAATTATGTTGTTTGGCTATATGTCTTCTCTTTTTTGCTTTCTAAATCATAGTAGACTTTTGTGTCTTTCTATAAAACAGTGTTAATATTTTGCTTCTCTGTGTCAGGATGTTCCAAATCATGGATTTCGTGTAGGAATGAAATTAGAAGCAGTAGATCTCATGGAGCCACGTTTAATATGTGTAGCCACAGTAACTCGAATTATTCATCGTCTCTTGAGGATACATTTTGATGGATGGGAAGAAGAGTACGATCAGTGGGTAGACTGTGAGTCTCCTGACCTCTATCCTGTAGGGTGGTGTCAGTTAACTGGATATCAACTACAGCCTCCAGCATCACAGTGTAAGTTGGTATACAGAAAAGGTGTCCTTTTGTAAAAATCAGCAATTCTCCAGAGGACTGTCTCACATAAATCATCTTGTGAGCTCACAGGACAAGAATATACCTATGTCTGATTGGTTGCCAGGTAAGATATTAAGACTCAACAACACTATCACAGAATCAGACCATGTGTACCATGGCAGTATGAACTACATAGTGACTATAGAAACACAGTAGTCACCAGGTTAAACTGGTCTTGCAGTTTTGACAAGTTTAAAATTACAGGCAAAAAAAAATGTATTGGTGTATAATAAGTACTATTGAGTAAATAGTGGAATCTGTTTGGTATTGAGGCTCCTGCTTTTGTAGAAAAAGTATATCCTTATTTCAGAGCATCATGTATTTTTATAAGCATAATGGTCTTCATAAAGACAGTTCATCTAAATTGTATCTGAAGTGGTAAGCAATTATCTGGTACCAATTTTCCTTTTTATTTTTCAGCATCAAGAGAAAGCCAATCAGCTTCATCAAAACAGAAGAAAAAGGCTAAGTCCCAGCAATACAAAGGACATAAGAAAAGTGGGTCACCATGTGGTGTTTACATACATTTTCTCATTGTTAACCAATTGGGGTCACAGTATTCTTGCACAGAAAATTCTATCCTTGTGAGAACTGATGATCTGCATTATGTATTATGCTTAAAGGTGCAGTATGCCATAAAAGGCAAACCTTTTCAATCATGAAAAACATTTTAATTGAGAGGAGAAATTACTGCCATAGTATTTACATGGTAAAGAAAGAAACCTACAAATGTTTCTTTTTTTTTTTTAACAAATGTTTCTTGAAATCATTTAAAAACCTACCAAAAGTCAATACTTTTTTATTTTTTTAACTTTTCATTTTAAAAGCTAAAAAAAATAAATAAATAAAAAGCAGGTACTTGATGCTTACAGTAGACTCAGAGCTTAATAAACCCATCCTTCTGGGCTGGGATGTAGCTCAGTGGCAAAGCTCTTGCTTCACATCTGCAAAACCCTAGGTTTGATCCCTGGTTTCAGAAAAAAAGAAAAAAAGTTCTTCTTACAAAGTATAGCTGTCTTTCTAGAACAATCAATCCAGGCTGATGGCTACCAAACCAATTTTTCTCAGTGTGCTTTTTGTGCTATATTTTGCCTTACAGTGAATGATCATTGACATTAATAGCCACAGAAATATAAAAATATGCTGATATTCGATTCTTTTAAATTTAAATCTTTTTTTGGCCTGTAATCCCAGCTACTCAAGAGGCTGAGGCAGGAGGATTGCAAGTTTGAGGTCATCCTGGGAACTTACTGAAACCCTGTCTAAAAATTTAAAAATTAGAAAAGGGCTGGTGATGTAGCTCAGTGGTAACTTCTGGGTTAATCACTAGTACCAAAAATATATTACCCTCACCACCAGCATAGAAAGCCACAGGTTTTATAACTTCATGAAGCATATCATAGAATATTTTATTCTAAGATAAGGTTATGTATCTTAATGAAAGGTTTTTTTAAGCAAAATGTTCTGGAGGATTAAAACTTAAAAGGCTTAAAAAAAATGTCTCCAACTGACTTGCCATATGTTGAAATAAGTGTTGATAGCACCATAAAGACTCAAGTATATTTTTATTCTTATCTTTCTAATTACTTATTTGTTTATAATTTTTAAGGGAGGAACTTAAAAACTTCTACTGGCCACTGTAATGGTGCTTTGAAAAATAAATTTCAGGCTGGGAATAATGACACCTGTAATCCTAGAACCTAAGGAGACTAAAGCAGGAAGATCACAAGTTCAAGGCCAAACTTGGCAACTTTGCAAGACCCTGTCTCAAAAAAATTTAATAAGGGCTGAAGTTGAAGCTCAGTTAGTAGAGCGCTTGCCTAGCACACGTGAGGTACTAGGTTTGATCCCTGGCACCAAATAAAAATAAAACAAAGGTACTGTGCCCAATCTACAACTTAAAAAAAAAAAAAATTAAACCAGTGAGGCACAGTGGCGCACACCTGTAATCCCAGTGGCTCGAGAGGCTAAGACAGGAGGATCACAAGTTCAAAGCTAGCCTCAACAACGGTGAGGTCCCAAGCAACTCAGTGAAACCCTGTCTGTAAACAAAATATAAAAGAGGACTGGGGATATGGCTCAGTGGTTGATTGCCCCTGAATTCAATCCCCAGTACCAAAAAATAAATTAAAAGGGCTGGGGATCTCCAGTATCTCAAAAAAAAAAAAAAAAAAAGTTTTTTTCCCAACACAAAACCCTAGTCAATTTTCTCTACACAGAGAAAAGATTGTCTCTTGCCCCTTTACAGGATGCACAGACTCAGAATTTTTTGCCAACAGCTGCCTAGAAAGTCTGATATTCCCCTAAAAGTACTTCAGAGAGTATTATCAAACCAGGCAGATCAAAGGAGTTCCTATTCATCCGGATATAATTAGGAAGAATTCAGTGAGAATTTTTTAACTGTGGATTAACTTTAGCAGATGTAATCCCTTAGCTTTCTGTAAGAGGAATTTACAGGACAGTTTAACTGGTCTTATAACTTTCTGTTGGAAAACACGTCATAAAATTGTGAGATTTCAGTATTTTCTTTCCCAGATATCAAATTAAAAATGGTTTTATGCTACATATGATGGTGCAAACCTATATTCTCAGCTACCCAACACCAACCTGGACAACTTAGTGACACCCTATTTCAGAATAAAATTTTTAAAAGAATTTTAAAAAGGCAAAGGGCTAGGGCTATAACTCACTGGTAGAGCTAGCCTAGGTACATAAGGCCCTGGGTTCATTCCCATATTGCAAAAAAAAAAAAATTAATTTTATTACTCCCAGATTTATGAATAATACTATTTATTAATTTATGACTTATTGTGTACACATTTCAAACACCTCCCTCAATATGATTCTTTCAAGGCTTGGTTCTGGCTATGGGATTTAGATTATTTAAATTAATGGGCTAGGGGCATGGAAGAAAGAATGTAATTAATGAGGTAATAATATCAGTACTGGTGATATTTATCCTTACTAGATTTCTGGATTAGCTGGAATATTGAATTTAGTTATATAGATGGAATATATTCATAAACTGTGACTTTTCATAGCTCTCAATATTATGACATCATTTTAATGCCTTTAAATTTTTCTTTGGATATAGAAAGGAAAAGAAGTACAAACCTGAGCTGGGGATGTAGCTCAGAGAGAGAGCTCTTGCCTAGCAAATGTAAGGCCCTGCAGTGGATCCCCAGCACCACAAAAAAAAAAAAGAGAGAGAAAAAACACAAACACACACACACCCTCATTAGAAATCTGTAGGACTGATGTGGTTTGGAATTCAGAATTTTTTGGATTTTAGAAATACAGTGTGTGTGGCATAAATTTTGTAATACCCATTGCACACTCTGGAACATTTTCTGAACCAAAAAATAAATATTTACATTAAATGGATCAAGTAAAAATTATAAATGTATGACAAAATGAGTATGGTTTTGTTGTCAAAATATTATAAAATTTCTGAATGTTGGAATTGAAGATAAAGAGTGTAGTATTAAGAAGGAGCAGTTTTTATCTGCTGCTTTTTTATACACACACAAAATGATTTATTAGAAAATTTTCCCACAACACCATTTAGCTAAATAAGAACAAACTTGGGGCTTAGAAACCTAAGTCATTCGTTGCAAAACAAGCTTTTATGTCAGTAGTACATGGGCTTTTATCTCAGTAGTACATGGGCTATAAAACCTTGTGTTTGCTGGTTGGTTATTATGTTCTGGCTTTGTTGTTTCATCTTATAACTCTTTGGTCTTTTTGGTACTTAAAATCTTTTATTAGGATGTTCTTTGGTACTGTTTACATTTTACAGAGACATGGTTGATTGGCTTCATCATTCTAGCTTGTGGGGGTTATGAGCTGAATTCATGCTGTAAAGGTGTAGTTGTTAACTAGCTCTTTTGAAAATAAGTTCTGCAAAGAGGATCAATCTGTTCAATCTTAAAAGCCTCTTTCTCAAGGTGTAGTAATTCTGGAGCAGGAAAAGCAACACTAATTTCTGTTAAATTTCACTATTTTCAGGGCTACTGGGAGTAGTAGGATTTGGAGATTGTTCCTTGCCATTTTACCTCTATAAGTTATATAATTTATTAGAAAAAAGTCTAAGTAGTTGTTGCACATGATTTTGGTTTGGCAGTTGAGAGTTGAATGTGTACTTACTGGAACTTTAGCTTCCATATCATTTTACATAGGAATGTTGTCTTAGATTTATCTTTTAGTTCTGATTTTGGGAAGCATAATTCTGATTGCTCTTACCTGGGTCATTGTAGACTTTGGACAAGAACAGAAATAACTTAGAGTCACAAAGCTGTGTAAGTATCCTTCAGCTGTCAACCTCAGTAATGCGTTATACTTGGTGATTTGGTATTAGTAACATTGAGAGTATATTTTTGATTAGTAAAAGCTCTATTGTAAGCACTACAAGGCTAATGAAACTATATCAGAAGGGTACCATAAATTTTGTTTGAAAAGAAAGCAGCTAAAGAACTTTCAGGCAATGAGCTTTTAAATTTTAGAAGTGCTTTTCAGAATAAGAATTAGAAATGTTTTCTAAAAGAATGTCTTGTTATCCAGGCATGTTGGCACATGCCAGTAGTCTCAGCAACTTCAGAGGCTGAGACAAGAGGTTTCCAAGTTAAGGCCAGCCTCAGCAATTAGCAAGACCCTATTTCAAAATACCAAACAAAAGGACTGGGGATTGAAGCTCAGTAGTAAAGCACCCTTGGGTTTAACCCCTAGTATCAAAAAAAAAAAAAAAGAGAGAGAGAGAGAATTTATTGTTAGGGGAGCAGCACATTTTATATCAGTAAAATCCTGCCCCCTGGATAATGCAGTTAAAACTGTTTTACTTTGCTTTCTCCCTGAAAACCAGCATTTGAGCTTATTTGGCCAGTGAAATACTACCCTGAAATTATCGCTTTTGAAATCTTCTCTCAGTCTGGGAGTGTAGCTTGGTGTAAAGTACCTGCCTAGTATTTATGAGGTCCTCCCAGTCCCCAGCATGGCCTGAGAAAGGGGGAAAAAAGACTTTTCCATTGTTTTTTTACCCTACCTCAAGCTGAGGTTTTCTTGAAAGAAATTAGCCAGCTAGCTGTTCTCCATACTAAATGGTCTCTATAGTTCATTTTGCTTTGTAATTTTTTTAAATATACTGGAGAGTTAGGAGGCAGTCAGAGAGCACTCAGAGAGCAGAAACGGTGTCTCCCACTACCACTCCCAACACTCACACAAACTCAAACACTCCATTGTTGCAGGAAATACAACCCTAGCATAGTGGGTTCTCTTTGCAGTGTCCTGTGCAACCCAGCCTTCCTAGTTATGCATTGCACTTTTCGTACCACGCACGTAAGTCAAAGCTTACTTCAGTCTGACTTGATGTTTAGAGAGGAAGATGCCAGTTGGGAAGAAGCCTGTCAGTTTGTCGAGCCTGCCCATGACAGGCGGGGTGCGGAGGAGCTTCTCTGGTGACGAAGAGTTGACTCCTCCTCCATACCGAGCCCTGCCAGCACAGACAGCCCCAGAGGCCTTCCCACCTCCCAGCACTAGCCGAGAGTTCAGGCCCAGCCTCAAAACAGGTAACGAGTCACTCAGCACTACAGGTACTGCAGAGGGTAAAGTGCTGGGCTGGGTGGTGGGAGACAAAGCATGGTCTGGCGTGTCAGATGCTGCCTCATTAAAGTTTTCTTTTTCTTTTAACTAAAATATTCATTCTCACTGATCCTTGGTAGTCACATCACAAAGATGAATCATCAGGAAAGGTTTTTTTGTTGTTGTTGTTATAAAATACTTGGTAAGCTTCAAATTATGGTAAAGTTATTTCAGCTTTATGGAGCTATGAAGCAATTGTAATACTTTATGGTTTCATTAGATTGGCAGATTTCTTTGTGACTTGACCTAGGGGAGAAATGTGTCATGAAGGAACAATCTGATCGATCAGATCCAAATGTGAGGCTTTGTTTGTGCATTCCATAGGGTCTCATTCATGGAAAGGTTGTGTTTTGACTTCTAGAATAAGTGTGCTCTTTGGTAGTAACATTTACCATAAACATTATCGAATAACATAAATTTAGAAATATGATATCTATGTAATTTTGGTGTTGGGTTTGAGATTTATTGCCATAATTTCATGTTTATGTATGTATAATGAGTGATTTATTAAGAAAGTGGCATTTGTCTTGAGTTTAGTTGGTGAGGCCAGAGTAATAGATTAGTAGACTGCAGAAGGGGTTATTTTGGCCATTTGTAATTGCTAAGAACAAGGTGGTTTCAGAGGATGCCAGAGAGCTTCACTTTCATATGATGAACTTTAGGCATGAGTCGAGATGATATGGCTTCAAAGCCAAAGTTCTCAGTATTCCTTAAAATGTCTTTTATGTGTTGGAAACCTAGATAAGACTTAGTGCCTACCTGTTTTCCTCTTTCTTCTATTTGCTAACATTTTTGCCCCTGAAGTTATCAGCCTTTTTTTTTTTTTGTCCATTTTAGAATATATTGTTTATCTTTTGCATCTCTCATAGTCTGTTAGGTCATCTTCCCCTTTCCTAAGTGTTTTTCTGATGATCACCCTGATACCCCAATGTCCAGATTAGAATTACAAAGTTACTTGCTCTTTAATGGAAAAACCTTCATAGTCTGTCTGAAGAACCTTCCAGTTGTTTTTATTCTTGTTTGTTTAACTTTTCATTTTATACTTGCTAATTATGAAATAGTCTTCTTTACCTAATTAAGTGTAGACATTTTGAGTTCTGAATATGTTTGAATTTTTATGGGATTTGGGGTGTATTTTCTTGAGACAAAACTAATTTTAGAGGCATGTGTCATTTTGTGAGAGGTCCCAACTCATGTAAAACAGAATTTGATTTTTTAGATTGGCAAAACCCAAGAATTTAGAGTAGGCTTGCCAAACAGAAAGCAGCACATGGCTTCTTATGTGACTTCCTTCTTCCTTTAGTGTCTGTTGTGTCTTCTGACTTGGGGGTGCATCTTGTGGGACATGGTGTGATTTTACTCTGGTGAAACTGTAGAGACAGCTTTGTTACCTTAACTATCTGAAAACTGCAATTTAGTTAGCTGTTGAGAGAATTTATTATTTATGGGCTTTATAAGTGGGAAAATGTCATTTTTGGTTTATTTCATGAAATGTTAGTGATTAGTGTCAACAAAGTGACTTCCTTTTAAAAAAGAGAGCTAAGAAAAAGCATTTGTATAGAAGATGACATCTGGCCACAGGATCTATTTCATCCATCATTCATTGAGAATAAGGCCTGAAGGAAAAATGATTAGTGTGAACATACTAGACAGGCTTTGTTTTTGATTCCGTGAAACTTTTCATTAAAACATTCCACATCTGAGTGAATGTATCATCTGTATCTTGAGTGATTTTTTTTAAGTACATCATTTTCATATTTTAACATGACTAGAAGCCTAATCCAGAAATTTGTTATTAGCAGCAAATGCACGTAGCTTCAGATGTGCTTTAGAATCTCAGCTTACCTTTCTTAACATTAAAAAAATAAAACATCTGTTTGAATGGAACATGTTTGATCTTAAGGCACGGTAGTTCCCATTCATTTAGCCATCTGATCATCCTACAACAAGATATCGTTTTAATCAACCTTTTATTGTGGGTACTGCACCTTTAATGAACTTGGGTTTTGTTATCTATGTGTTTATCTTTGTGGTATTGTTAAAATGTCCCTAACATTTTAGTGCATGTGACATGAAGGATAGGTATTATACATTTAATACAGTTCTCTATAACAGCATTTTATTAAAAGTAGTTTGTTTTTTTTAAAGAAAGGAAAGAACTGCACAGTTTTGTTTGCTTAACCTTCAATAATCCGATTGGTGTTAATTTTGCTGTTATTATACACAGTGTATTCGCTTTTCTGTCTTTGGCCTACTGAATTTTTAACCACCAGTACCAACACAGGTACCAAAGTAAGACAAGAAAATAAGTTGTCTGCTCAGAAGATTATCCTGTAAATTAGTAAATAAGATGTCAGAGGTCATTAAATTTTTAAAATAATCTTCTGTGTAAGTAAAATCAGGATATGGCGGTTGGAAGTGTAGTTCACTGTTAGAGGATATGCCTAATATACACCTGCCCAAGGTCCTGGTTTCCATCCTTAGCACCACACACACACACACACAAAAAGTTGTAGACATTTTAATACTGTTCTACATAGTGACATTAGTGACAGCATTACTGTCACATGAAAAATGTAAATGCTTACTCCCCCTTAATGCTCTTGAGTCCTAATTCTTCTCTTAAATTTACATTTTTATTTTCAGTATGAGCAGTTCTCAGTTTACCTTCCATATTCATTAGTCTCCCTTATTCAAGTGGAGTATTTTCTAAGACCACCTCCACCCCAGTGGATGCCTAAAACCACATGTAGTACCAAACTCTATACATATATGTTATGTTTCTTCTTAATGTACATATCTATGATAAAGCTTAATGTATAAATTAGGCACATAAGAAATACTACTAATAAAATAGAAAAACCATAACAAAGTGCCACAATAAAATTGCCAGCATTGTTGCTCTTGTTTGGGTTAAGTGAGCAGTTACTTGAACACATGTACTACAATATTATGATAGTCCATCCAGTAACGAAGATAACTTTATTAAAGGAGATAGGAAAGCTCCTAAGTGACTAACAGGCAGGTAGTATATAGGGCACAGATAGACCTGATGATGGGAAGATTCACATTCCAAACAGCACAAGGTTTCATCACTCTACTCAGAATAAGGTACAATGAAGAACTTAGAATTATATATTACAGGAATTTCCCATTCAATATTTTCAAACTATAGTTAAGCACAGAAAATTGAAACTGCAAAAAATGAAACCAGAGATAAAGGGGGACTACTGTATTTGCATCCTCTCATTCCAGATTGTTAATGAAAAGATACCTAATAGACACAAACCAAAAAAAAAGTCTTTCCTTTGATTTGGAGCCAGATACCTCACCTCCAGAGGCTCAAAGTTACTTCAGTGAGTAAAGTGAACAGCATGAGCCTGGGGGCCTAGTGATAGATAGGGTTCTCAGGCTGCCCAGATACAGGGTGTGGCAGCCCATCACTCCCCACTGGTCATATAGCTCTTTAAGGATGTTAAATGTTGCCAATTCTTTATGTGAAATCTCTGGTTTCAGAATACTCAGATTTTAAAAGGTGTTTATAGCTCAGTAGTAGAACACTTGTCTAGCTTGACCCCAGGCTCAGGTGAGAGGGGGAGGGGGATAGGGATAGTTTGTGGCTGCCAATTTAGTAGATCTGTGTACCCTGAAGAAGTTGAGCAAGGTTAGCATTACTCACCATGGGACTAGATTCCAGTGATTGTATTATTTTAAGAGACCACCTCACCTGTATTTCAAATTATTTGTAACTTCACTGAGCATGGTGGTACACATTTGTAATCCCAGTGATTCAAGGGGCAGAGGCAGGAGGATTGCAAGTTCAAGTCCAGCCTAGGCAACTTAACAAGACCCTGTTTCCACATAAAGAATAAAAAGAGGGGCTGGGGATGTGGCTCAAGTGGTAGCGCACTCTTCTGGCATGGATGCGGCCCGGGTTCAATCCTCAGCACCACATACAAAGATGTTGTGTCTGCTGAAAACTAAAATGTAAATAAAATATTAAAAAAGAATAAAAAGAGTTGGGGATGTAGCTCAGTGGGAGAATGCCCCTGGGTTCAATGCTAAATACTGCTCCCCCTCCCAAAAAAAAAAAAAAAAAAAAACGCTTTGTGTTTTTTTTTGAAACTTTACCAGCTCAATTTGGGTTAGAGAGTAACGTGGTGAATTGAACCCAGGACTTTTTACATGCCAGGCAAGTGCTCTGCCACTGAGCGACATTCCAACCTCCTGGACAATAACATTTTAGGAAAACTGAACACATCTCTGAGAGGTTGGGTAGTTCATGAAACTAGTCTGACAAAGAGAGTTCTGTGGGCAGTCTAATGGTGCTGGGTAGTTAGGTTGAGGGGTAGTAACAAGTTAAGAGTAGTTTATTAAAGGAGATAGGAAAGTCTCAAGAGTTAAACCTGACCTGAAATTCTGGCTTTGGACCCAGCAAAGATGAAATTCCTCTTTCCTGTCATAAAATATTGGAAACTAAAAACAGTCCTCCATAGAAATTAAAACCTGTTCAAACATGACCTATCCATAAATAGAGTATTGCCTAAACTCTGAATTTGTTTTCATTAAAAAGCGAGTCATCAGATAAGAACTTGGCCAGGCAATGTGTACTACTATTAAGTGATCCCATTGGACAAGTTAGTAGTTTTGCATCAGTGATTTTCACATTACTAGTGTCAGTAGTTTTTTTGTGTGTGGCCTTGGGATTGGAACCCAGGGCCTTTGTGTATGTGAGGCAAGTGCTCTACCCTTGAGCTATGCCTCTAGCCCAGTAGACGTTAAACTAAAAGAATTACCCAAGTTTTCTATGCCTTTAATTTAAATATAGGAGTTTAATACCAGATTTATTTTTATAAATTAATATAAATGTAATTTATATGGCAAATATTGTTTCATATTATTCATAATATATGCATGTTCATTATGAGATTCATGCTGTTTTTACTTTAGGGGGGTCTTTTTAATAAAGGTATTCCTGGGCTAGGAGTATAGCTCAATAGTATAAAGCACTTCCCTTCTGTGCAAAAGTCCCTTAACTTAATTTCTAACACTACAAAATAAATCAAAGGTGCTCCTTAAGGACAGTAGGCTCATATTAAAGTCATACTTATTATGTATTGTACTTTAGAAGTATGCAAGGAATATGCCATTGTTTCTGTAGACATTGACATAAAAGTGAATACTTTATCATAAAGACAATTATTTTGGATTACTGAGCACTATTACCTTGAGCATTCCATCAAAGGTGTCCACTATGCAGTATTATTCCTTTCTAGAACATTCCTAAATTGCCAGTATACAATAAAAATTAAAATTCAGACCAGAGGTATTTCTCAGTGATAGAGCACTTTCCTAGCACATGCAAAGCCCTGGGTTAGTACCCAGCACTTTAAAATAATAATAAAATAATAATTTTTTAAATCAAATGTTTAAACTTTCAGGGTTGTTGTGCTTTGTTGTGTTATGTTGTATTTTTTCTAGTGCCAGGAATCAAAACCCATGCTAGGCAAGCCCTCTACCACTGAGCTACATCCCCAGCCCTCTGGTGTTTACTTCTTAGATTTATTGATGAAGAAGTCTTATTAACTATAAAGCTGAAGGAACATGAAGAGTAAAGGCAATCTGGATATTCCAGAAGCTTGATAACATCCTGTACATTTCTCTATTTCCCTCTCCCTCTCTCTCTCTCTCTCTCTCTCTCTCTCTCTCTCTCTCTCTCTCTCTCTCATATGCAGTGACTACGTTGCAGCTGAAGGAGGAGTTGCTAGATGGAGAGGATTACAACTTCCTTCAAGGAGCATCTGATCAAGAAAGCAATGGCTCTGCCAACTTCTACATCAAACAAGAGCCATGAGGTGGCTCAGAAACTGAGGGTGGGAGGGGGAAAATTTTACACAGAACTGATTTATAATCCAGCTGTACAGCGGGCTATTCTACTGGGACATTTTGCTAAACACAGAAAATTTCAGTTCCAGATTTTTCAGGTGGGTAGGGAAACTATTTTAGCCGGGTGGGGGGGAAATTTTTCAATTTATAAAAAGATGGACAATTTTTGTGTTGTATTTGAAGCTTTTGAAAGAATTTTGTAATATTTTCCAAGTTTGGATTTATGTGCATTGTTAACAAGAACTGAAAATCTTAACTTTTTTGGTAAGATTAAAGTTTAGGTAGCAGGATTGAAGGAAATGATTTAAGAAGGATATAGTTGTAAATGCAAATGAACTGTCATTACAAATGAACCTTTTTGGTACCTGTTGGGAGATTTTTGGATTTTAGAAGTTAAGCCAGTCACATCTCCAGCTTCCTTTGCTGCAGAAATATGCAACTGAACCCCTCATGGAGGGCTCATCACCATGTAGATCACGGAAGGGGTAATTAATTCTGCTTGATGGCATTTTATTGCAGCCCATTTTAAATGTTTGTACAGAAATGTTTTTCATTCTGTGAAAATTTATTTGGAGTTCTATATGAAACTGGAAGAACTCTGGATACATTTATGTGTTCTTTTAAGTAAAAAATGATTCAAATTATCCTAACACTAAAGTGTTTAAACTGGAATGGTTGACAAGATATACAGGATCTCGACATACATGTTGCGGGGTTAGGGAAAATGCAATATTATCCTAAGTTTATTTTCTTTTCCTTACTAAAACAAATCCCACAAAAAGGGATTCTGATTAATTCTCTGACATTTCCCTCCATCTGTGAGATAGCAACTTGGCATGACCACACCCCAAAACGGATGTTCTATATTACCAAAACAATCAAAAGTTGTTCAAAGCCGAAATAGGTTTAGATTTCAAAATCATTCCAGCTCCACATTTAACTAGCTTGGATTTGTTAGAAAACTAATTTGAAAGAGAATTTAATTTTCATACAATTCCTATATCTAGTATGAATTATCTTTATTTGTAGTCAGAATTTATTTTAACAGTAATAACAGTAAGTGATTTGGACCATTTTGAACATTCCCTATTTTAAAATTCACATGGCTTCCTTTAAAATTAGGGTACAAGGGTAAATTGGTGAAAGGTTTGCTGTTTTCTAACCTTCTACCGAGTTGTGACTGAATGAGAGAGCTCTAGCGTTTACCAGTGAGGTTCATAAACTAAACTCTCAGGAATTCATTGCATCTGTTGTAGAAGTGCTTCTGGGTCTTAGCCTGGCCTCTTCAGAGTGATAATACTGACCATCTCCTCTGGAATATAGGCAGGGCTAATTAGAAATTAATCAAAATGATTAACCTCTACAGTCCTTCAGCCTATGAAATGCTTTAAAAAATGTTAGAAAGTCCCAGGAGACCATTTTAGGTAAGATTTTTGTTTGAATTTTAAAATGCATAGAACGTTTAAAACCAGCAATTTATTTTCTAAAATATTGCTCTACTTTTGGGAATAATAGCATTGGTAATACGCACAGGTTTACCTCATTCTATGCAAGAGGGGTTAATATCATAAGATTTTGTAGTAGCTACTGGAAGTAAAATGTGTTACTTTATAATGTAAGAATGTATGGAATCGCATGTCACCATTTCTTAATACTGACTCTTTGGGGGCATAAATGCAGATCACATCAACGCAAGTTGATTCTCGTGTCAAATATATGTGAATTCAGCTGTAAATTACTGGATATCTTAAACAACATTGCTGAGAGGGACCTACCATAAATGTGACATCCTCACACTTCCCAAATCTTGAACTTCGAAGAATCTTCCCATAAACTTAAAGCCTAGAAGAGTTCCAAGGCAAAGGGTACAGCAGTCTTTATTCTCAGGCTCAGTGGATTAAATACAGGACTGTGGCTCCATGATGCAGGCTCAAGAAGCCTGTGGTGTACTCTAGGAGTACCTTGGGTGTAGGAGCCCTCTGGGGAACTGAATAAACCAGGAGGGATGTGATTTGGAGCCAGCCAGTCCTGGTAATTAGTTCTGTGAATGCTCATCTGTAGCCAGGTTTTATAAGCTTCCAGTTCTATAGCAAAAACCAGGCTCTGAGTGTTTTAGGATTTCCCATATACTCATGAAGTGTTTTTTGTCTTGATCCAGTGACCAACAGTTAAGGGTTGGTAAGGACTTCCTACAGTCTAAATACAACCTGAAGCCCTCCTCATTACTCATACTCTAACTCCTGCTGCTGAGAACAGAAAATAAGTCAATGCAGAGGAGATATATGTCTCAGCCATAACTCTTGATTGTACAACTCAGTAGACCCATTCTCTTACGGTTCACAGTGTACTGCTGACCTTGGGTTTGTTTTTGTTTTTGTTTTCCTGTTAGGATTACTTGGGGACTTTTGGTAGTTTAAACTCTTTAACCTTTTCCTTGCTGTGTATGAGGAAAGCTAAAGCTGTTATCAACTTCTTATTCTACGGATACTAACACGGGTTTTCAGTGTTTGTTTGTTTTATTATTATTAATTTTGTGTGATGTGAATACCCTCTCCCATCAATATTTGTATTATGGTGCTATATATTTGGTAATGATCCTTTAATATTGGGAAGGGATTTTAAAAATACTGTGATTAAACTGGGTTTCTTCCTTTGATTTTCATATTTTAAATAAAGCCACAGTCATTTATACAAAAGAAAAGCATCTCTCTGTTCCTAGGCAAATCTTTTGAGGACAGAGATCAAAGTAAACTGCATAAGGTTTTTACATCATTTCTGTATGTATTTGATATATAGATCAATATCTGTACAAATTTAATCTTTTATTTTCTGGTAACTTGTGATCATTGAGAAAGTGTTTGAAACTTTCTCATGAAGTGTATATAATGGCGTGAAAAATTCCTTCAGAGAAATTTATGTTCCTTTCATTTTTACCAAATTGCAAATTTTCAGCATGGATGTGAAAAGCATTAAAATTATAACTTTGTGTACAAGATTAAAATAATTCACTAAATTTGCCCTTTTTTACACAAAATAAAATGTTAAAGTTAAGCTGTATTTGAGCATTCTTTACTGTGTTGTGGTTTGAGGGGGATGCTTTATTCAAAATGTTGAATGCCTTCTTATAAGCAGCTCTTAAAGAGGCCCCTGTTCCTTCCTAGAGGAGGAATTTCCTACTAGTAGGCAAGGAGAAACAGAGGCCAGCATGGACCCATAGTTAGACCCAGGACCTCTTTCTCTCCCTCTCTCTTTAAAAAAAAAAAAAAAAAAGTTCCATAATTGCCTCACAGAACTCAGGGAAGCACTTTTCTTTTTTTTTTTTTTAAAGAGAGAGAGAATTTTTAATATTTATTTTTTTAGTTATTGGCGGACACAACATCTTTGTATGTGGTGCTGAGGATCGAACCCGGGCCGCACACATGCCAGGTGAGCACGCCACTGCCTGAGCCACATCCCCAGCCCCGGAAGCACTTTTCTTAATCACCCTTTTTTAAATAAAGGATATAAAGAATACAGTTAAGATGCACAAGGCAACTCATGTGGAAGGTGAATGGGGCTTCTGTGTCTTCTATGGACACCACCCTCCAGGCAACTCAGGAATATGGAAACCCCAAAACCTGTACTTTTGGCTTGCTATGGGAGTTTCATTATATAGGCATAGTTGGCATGGTCCATTGGTTATCAACTCAACCTTTAGTCCCCCCTGCCCTTCCTAGAGGTTGTGGGATGACAATTCCAATCCCTATAGGCACAAATTGGTTCTAAGAACCAGCATATCCCCACCTTGAGGTCAGGAAACTAACCTCTCCCCACAGTCACCTCAGCATACAAAAAGATCCTTAAGGCAAAAGAAAATCCAAGGGTCTTAGGAGTTATGTACCAAGAATGTGGAGAAACCAAACATTTTTTTTTTTTTTTTTTTTTTTTTGGTGCTGGGGATTAAATCCAGCACCTCAATGTGCAAGGCAAACACTCCACCTTAGGGATACCTTCAGCCCCCAAATGTATTGCTTCCCTCACAATGTCATTCATTTTGTTTAGTGTAGCAATTTTCATAAAACACAGTATAAAGTCCTACATAGAAGTGATTTCATTTTTATCATTTTCTTAAAACCATAAATCCACCTCTTTAAAATTCAAGAGAGCGCTACAAATGCATTTTATAACTGCCTATCCAGCCAAATTAATCTGAAAAGTAGGATTCCTGCTTCTAGCCTGGAAAAGAAGCAATCTTAAGTATTTCATCCCAGAATAAAAAGGAAGGTGATAGAGTTGCAGGTATACCAGGTATGGGCCAGACACATGGAAGTTAACTGTATTTGTATACACTATTTCATTTAATCCAGCATTGCACTGGTAATAGGTATTCCTTTTTAAAAATCTTTAGACTTTGGAAGTAACTTGCCTAATTTGTAGACAACAAACATGTAAATCTAGACCACTTGACTAGTCTGCATTTCCACAAATAATTCTTACAGAAATAAACATTTCTCTATTGTTAATGCTATCAGGGATGTTTATTTCTTTATTAGTTTCCTTTAACAACCAGTGCTACACTTTTCCTCTGCAGCCCTAGAATATGTTGAGTATTCCCAGGTTCTGAGAAGGATTAGATATTTCTTCCATAATAAATGGCTACTGCCACAGTAACCGGAGAACAAAGCCATTTCTTTCAGCTTAGTATCAAATAAGCACAGTCCACTGCACCCAATTCCAAAGGCTTTATTGGTAAATACGCTTTAGAAAAGAATGATCTACCCTACCCCTTCCAAGTCAGTGGAATGAACAGCTGTGTCCAGGGACTCTGCAGACTGCTGAAGGGGACCCCTGCTTTGAGCACTTCTATTCATAGACCCAGTCATGAGCACAAGACTTGTAGTCAACCAATTCTTCAGGCTTAAACCATAGGCTGATCTCTTTTTCAGCACTTTTTACAGAATCACTGCCATGAATGATGTTCCTAAAAAAGAAAACAATTACTAGTTACCATGTTTTAAAGTGCAAAAGTCTACTTTAGTAGCCAAATTGCTACTTGAAGCAGCAAGTTAGATACCCCAAAATATTTCTGAAACCAACTACAAAACCATGAAGATGGTCAGGCATGGTAGCACATGCCTATAATCCCAGAGACTCAGAATGTTAGGCAGGAGGATTTTGAGTTGGAGGCCAGCCTCAACAACTTAGCGAGGCCCTAGGCAACTTGGTAAGACCCTGTCTCAAAGAGCTGGGGATGTGGCTCAATGATTAAGCACCCCTGGGTTTAAACTCTGGTATAAAAATAAAAAACTATGGAAGTGCTATTCTGGGAACTGAGGCAAGAGGACTGCTTAAGCCTGGGTAACACCAATACCCCATCTCAACCAAGTGACTGTAAAGGTGCTTAATTTAAAATATTCATTGTTCCAACTATATTATGCTTATAAGTTCCCATCCCCTTGAAAAGTACTTTTAGGACTGGGGATATGGACAGTGGTAGAGTGCCTGCCTAGCATGCATGAAGCCATGAATCTGATACCCAGCACTGAAAAAATGAAAAAATCTTTTTCTTTTTTCTCTTTTTTTTTTGCTGATGCTACAAAATTATTCCAATTCCTCCTCAAATTTTGAAGCACATAGGAAAAAAAAAAATCAAACATACACCAGAACAACAAACCTTAACTAGATGTGCTTTTTTTGGGGGGGCAGGGGGGTGATAGAGTCTTATTAAATTGCTGAGGCTGGCCTTAAACTTGTAATCCTCCTGCCTCAGCCTCCTGAATTGCTGGGATTACAAGCAAGCACCACTGTACTTGGCCCTTGCCCTTTTTATTTTCTTGAAACAGGGTCTCAGAAAGTTGCTTAGGACCTAAGTTTTTGAGGCTGGCCTTGAACTTGTGATCCTCCTGCCTCAGCCTTCCAAAATCCCAGGAATTATAGGCATGCAACACTATGCCCAGCTACATGTAATTATTATCAAGGACCATTGCTGTTGCACTTTTTTGGATCACTGATTTGTAAAGCCCAATCACGAAATGCATACTTATTAATAATAATAACAATCCCTTCATTCCATTTGAATCTCAAAACTCTATGGTTTTAAACTTTGTATTGGTAAGGGAACCAGAATTAAAGGATATGCCCATGGATGGGATGCCCAGAATGCAGAACTTGGCAAGGCTAGAACCATGTAAGGAATTACCATATGCAACTTCCCTGTGCAGTGTCTTGGTTAAAATTTCAAGTGATCTGGGGAAGTAGCTATTCATGAAAGTTTTTATCCAATAAAAATCACCACCTAATTTAAAATTCATTTTTCTTTTTTTAGGGGGAGGAGGTACCATGGATTGAACTTGGGCACTCAACCACCAAGCCAATCCCCAGCCCTATTTTTGTATTTTTTATTTAGAGACAGGGTCTCACAGAGTTGCTTAGCACCTCATTGCTGAGGCTGGCTTTGAATTTGCAATCTTCCTGGCCTCAGCCTCCGAGGCACTGGGATTATAGGCATGCACCACCACGCCCGGCTAAAGTTCAGATTTTTTGAAAAACAGAATATGTCCAAAACATTTGCTTTTATACTCCATTTAAGTGAGTAAAGTCATCAATATCATCCCAGGAGTTAAGTAAAAATTATCAACACTGTTCCAGGACTCACCTGCCAACTTGAATGCAGAAGTCCCCTCGAATGGTACCTGGTTTAGAATCTGCTGGATTCGTCTCCCCAAGCATCACGCGGCCTGTCTTCACCACATTCAGCCCCTCCCAGACCTTGACCAGGGGTAAAAGGAATTGTTGCAGATCTACCACTTAGGATCATTCCAGACAAACACCCCTACCTAACAGTACACATCAAAGAGACAAATCAGTGGTAACCCCAATAGAGAGCAGGGGCCTATATATCAAATTTTATTGCAAATATAGGATCCAGGTAGTCTACACTTAAGGGACTTAAAGAGATACAGAAAAAAATAGTTGAAGAAGGAGTAAAGTGATAACTGCAATACGATCAGTGAACATCCCAGAAGACAGCAAGAGATGGCAAAGGTTGATATAAAAGGGAAAATATTCCAGGGAAGAGCAGGAGGCAAAGGTCATGCTAGGGAAACCAGAAAGGCTCTTTCTCAATTTTGGTGCCTATTACACGCTCTACTTCTCTTCATTCCCAATTGAACATTAATGCCATCTAGAAAATGCTTCATCTCTAGCATAGAATTAGAGACCTTTTGCTTCATGTATTACATAAGTTCAAATTTTTCATGAGAAATTTTTAGAAAGTATTTTTTTTAAGTCTAGGAAACATTATGGTGACAAACACTTGGTGAACCTAAGAAATCTAGCACTCCTTTTGCTGGCAGTGAGGCCACCCCTGGGGGGATTTACCATACAGCATCACTTTTTTCCTAAAATCTGATTCTCTTTCCCTTCTCCTCCCAAACTCCTAGTTAATATTTCTAGCAGGACCCATGTATAAAAGGAAGAATTTAGGGTGGGGTATCTAAAAAAAGAGCAAGTAGGCACAGCAATTTCCCTGGTCTCCCCTCATCCCCAACAAGTACTCACCATAGCTACCACTGGCCCTGAGTTCATGTACTTCACCAGCCCTGGGAAGAAGGGCCGATCTTTCAGGTCAATGTAGTGCTGCTTCAGATGGTCCTCAGAGGCCTGATATTCAGAAGAGGATCCAGTTAGGAAACAAGCTAGAAAGGCTCAAGTATGGCTCCACCCCATTCTCTGAGTCCCTCATCAATGTGGCATGTTCTCCAAGAGTCCTTTGGGGGGCTGAGGATGTAGCTCAGTGGTAGAGCAACTGCCTAATGTGCAAGGCCTTGAATTCCATAAAGGGGAAAAAAGTCCCTTTTTTCACAAGGTATGTATTTAAAAAAAAAAAAAATCAAGCCTATTGCAAATCCCTCCTGAGTAACTTACCAAAATACAGTCTTAAAATATTTTAAAGACTGGGAATGTAGCTCCATGGTAAAGTATTTGCCTAACATGCATGAGGCCCTGGATCCAATCCCTGGTACCACAAAAGATGAAAGTCTTCTGATCATAAAAACATCCTTGTGGGCT